AGATGAGTTCGATTTGGTTTGGTTGCAGGCAGGCAGCCTTGGGAATATACAATGCTTTTATCATAGTGGGTGGTGGTGGTGTCTGGACTAAGCCCTGTGTGGTGTCTGTGATGCTAACTATACTCCTCTTGGTTTTGGGTTGAGGAGGATGAATTGAAAGCATGAATATTATGTTTATACGTAGCAGATCGAGAAAGCCTGCCGACCGGACTTAGTCCATGATCGGGGTCAATTGTAACAGCCCAAATCCACCGCTAGTTATTGTCCTCTTTGGACTTTCCCTTTCGGACTTTCTCTCAAGATTTTGTAACGCGTTTGCTAGGGAGAGGTTTTCAAATCAAAAAAATGTTTTGTTCCCCTTTCCAATCGAGATGGGATCTCACAATCCACCCCTTGGGCCATTACAAATGGTATTAGAGTCAGACACCGGGTAATGTGTCAGCGACGACTCTGGGACACCAAGAAATGAATTGTGAAATCCTACATCGATTGGAGAGAGGAGGGGAATGAAACATTTCTTATAAAATGTGGAAATCTCTTACTAGCCGAAACATTTTAAAATCTTGAAGGGAAGTTCGAGAGAGATGGGTTTGAGTTATTACATTAAATCTGCCACTGTAGGTATGAAAACGTGTCTTGCAATGGCGAAAGATTGTCCATCTGGAACTGAACCTGAGTTCCAAATGGGTTGTCCTCTGCCGATAAAGAATCAATGTAACTAAACTCAAAGAAGTCAATATCTCCTCCTCCTCCCGATTTGGGTCGACTCTGGACCTCCTTATCCCAGGTGACCTCGGGTGACGTCGCCTGATCCGAGCCACTGGAGGAGTCCGTGTGCATTATGGGCACCGAATAGGAAGTGTCCATTTGTACCATGTTGTTGTTGGGCATGGTGGCACTAATATTTGGTTTCTCATCCTCTTCCTCAAAGTCATCAGTGGATTGGTAATGCTTCTCTATACATCCCTTCTTGTTGTAGATACGACATAGCACCCATTCGTCCAACTGCAAATTCATTAACCAATCACAAATCACTTTAAAAAAATGATTGGTTGATTGATTGATTGATGGGTGTTTCTTACTCTCAAGTTGTGTGTTTTGTTGGCAGCGGATCGGTCCACGTTTGCAAGGCGATACTCGTGCATGATCCAATTGGTCTTGACGCCCCTTGGAGCCTTTCCAGCGTAGAATACGAGTGCCTTCTTGATACCAAGAGTTTTGGGGCGGCCGATGGGCTTGTCGGCCCCAGTGGCCTTCCAGTAGCCAGTTCCGGCGGAACGGTTGGGACGGGAACCATTCGGGTACTTACGGTCCCTAGGGGAAAAGAAATACCACTCCTTTTCACCCGAGACGGCCAATTCTAGAAAATGAGAATGATATAAAGTTAATCGGGAATATATACGAATATATTTAATGACGATTGGACTTTCGATCTCACTTTTTTTCCTCAATCTTTTCTACAAGAAAAGAAGAAAAGAATACCGGGGAGGAGCCACGGGTCGTATTTGTAAAGGTCAATCTCCGCGATAACGGGGGCGGGAACCGGGAGGGAGGAGCACTTTCTGCAGAGGTAGTGAAGGACTAGCTCCTCATCGGTGGGGTGAAATCTGAAGCCTGGAGGTAACTGCACCCCAGCTACGCTCATTTCGCGGCGGCGGCAAATCTGATCTGGTAAGGGTCTACTCCGATGAGCGGCGGCGGCGGCGGCGGGGAATTGGGAAGTGGATGAGCTTGAGAGATGGGGAAGAATGAGAGGTATATATAGAAGAAGGAAACACGTGGAGGGGGGAGGGGGTGTGAGTCACTGCACACGTCAGCGGCATGGCGGGGTCCTTGAATGTCGGCTTAGGATGTGTGGTCATAAAAGGAGGTTGACTGTCGATGAGATGGTCAGCAGGTGGACCCCAGCTTGCCATTTAAATAATAAATTAATAATAATATTAGTGATTTATTAATGAAATTACAGGTTAAGACATAAATATAATAATTATTATGGAAGTGCGGAGTGCTTGCTTGTATCCCAAGTAAAGGATTCAAACCCAAGTTATTATTATTATTATTATTATTATTATTATTATTATTATTATTATTTATGATTAGTATGTTGTGTTGTGGGTCCCACAACTTTTGTCAATCTGATGATGATTTTTTCCATACATTTTATCCTCTTCTCTCTCTTATCATCCAACTTTCAACATTTGACAACGTTAAAAAGGACATAATTAAAATAAATTAGTTAAAGTTTTCAAGAGATTGAAAATAAAATTGGAAAATGACGCAATTATTAGAGACAATATTTTTGAATTAAAATTAGACTAAATTAATAAAAATATTTTAAAAGATTCCTAAATTTTTAAAAATATTAAACCTTTGTATGGAAAAAATATATGAAATTGACTTATAAGTTGCTAATAGACTATTTTTAGTAAGATTTTTTTTTGAACTTTTTGTTACAAGTGTCAATACTAATTATAAAATTTAATGGGTATTTTTTTTTTTAAAAAAAAATCAAATCTTTTTAAAATTGAAAGGTTATAAAAAGTATTTTTCTGTTGTAGCTTCCCTAGTTCGTTTTATTGAACATAATGATGTGAACAGTGCTTTAATAAGTTCTAGTATGCAGCAAGTCGGTCCGAAAATTGCATTGTTGGAATGCCACGTGGCTCGAGATTCAGGGATTTTCGTTGTAGCCGAACAAGGGGGAAGATCAAAAAGTGCATTGTTGGAATTGGGTTGGAACGCCACGTGGCTCGAGATTCAGGGATTTTCGCTGTAGCCGAACACGGGGAAAATATCATTTTATATCGATACTGACAAGATCATTTTTTCGGGCAATGGGTATACTCTAAGAATTCCATTAGTTCTGTATCAACATTCTAACAAAAATACTTGTATGCAGCAAAATCTCAAGTTCACCCGAGTAAATGCATTAAAAAAGGGCAAACTAACGGTGCGTCTACAATTAGTGGCGAACTCACGTTGGGAAAAAACGTATTAGTGGCTTATACGTCATGGGAAGGTTACAATTCTGAAACGTAACCTAGAATTGGATACTCATTATCTAAACAAACCTCAAACATACCATTGGGAAGTGATTCAATAATTAAACCTGCATAAATCTTTTTTTTTTTTCCTTTCATTCCAAATGAAACCCGTTTCAAAGTATCCATTAACGAAGGGGGAGTGCTATTAGAAATCCACCTCTTTTTTTTTTTTTTTTTTTACAATATAGAGAAATTATTTAAATATCATAAAGATTAGCATATATAACACAAAATTTCTCCACCGATTCCCTGTAGTCAAGCTTCTCGACCTGTCATTATACTTCGAGAAGTAGAAAAAGTAGCAATAATGTCATTCCGCCTAAAATTTGTTGATAGTTAATATTCTATCATCAGCCTCCACAAAAGAAAAAGAAAAAAAAAACATCAAGAGTGGAAAAAGATTGCTCTTTTGTCATGTTTTGTTTTTCTTTTTTTAAGGTGACGACGCCATGCAGATATTCCCTTCCTTTGTGGCTCACCTCCAATCCGCCGCCGTTTCCTAAAGAGAAAATAAGTGGTTGTGGCAACTGTGTTCATGCATCTCACCTTAAAGGGTCGCCATCCATGTGGGAGCAAAAAGCAAACATCCAGATGAAACTTATACCATGTTTTGCTGCTTTCCGGGAACCTTCTTACTTTCTCCCTTTCCAACCACCCCTTAATTTAGACTCGAATCTAATAATTGTGGACGGTGTATGGGATCTGAGCTTTAGCGATTAGCGAAGCACTGTAGTAGCTCTGAAGCCCTATGTACTACAATGTTAAGCCAAGGTAAACTCGAAAGAGATGTCCCTAAAGCCACTATGATCTGGGTTCTCATACACTGCTCGCCCTATTAGCTAACCAATCAAGATAATTCATTAATTTCAGCTTGTCCCGAATTCTATATTGTATGACACAACTCGCTAATGATATGTATCTGTTTCCTCGAGAACCAAATTTAGATGCACAAAGAATGATATATATCTCTAGTCAACTCACAAATCTCTTCTTTCTTACTCAAGACAATTACACAATAATTTATGAATGAGACTGAAACCTTCTTTCTTTGATTAAGGAATAGCTATTATAAGTTTCAAACCAGCAAGACTTGGGCTCATTTTCTTTGATTAAGGATACTGTCTTCTTTGAGTTCTCCCTTTCGAGCTTCCTCTCAAGATTTTTTAAATGCATATACTAGGGAGAGGTTTCCACACCCTTATAAAGAGTGTTTCGTTTTCCTCCCCAACTGATGTGAGATCTTACTTTGGGACCTAGTGTCCTCGTTGGTACTCGTTCCTTTCTTCAATCGATGTGGGACCTCCCAATCTACCCCCTGGGGCCCAACGTCCTTATTGGCACACCACCTCGTATCCACCCCCTTCGAGGCTCAACCTCCTCACTAGCAAACTGCTCAGTGTCTGGCATTGATACTATTTGTAACAGCCCAAACCCATCGTTAACATATATTGTCCTCTCTGGGCTTTTTCTTTCGAACTTCCCCTCAAAGTTTTTAAAACGCGTATGCTAAGGAGAGGTTTCCACGCACCCTTATAAAGGGCGTTTCTTTCTTCTCCGCACACGACGACGTGGGATCTTACACATTTGGACTCTCAAGTGAAGCCTAAGTCAACGATCCCACATTAGGACCAAACTCAATAAACCCTTCTCCTAGATTACATATGCTAGTTTCAAATATCCCATTTTCTAACCTCAGTTTTCTATCTTTTCTATATGGAATCATTTCCCAATTTGAGTATCCATTCATGAAGGAATCACTCCTAATAGAAGAACTGAATACCTGCATGCCAAATACGTCGGAGTCGAAGCCTCCTTTTCGGGAACCCTTTTCAGGAACTGAGTACCTACATGTTTTCGTTAGTGTACTATTTCAAATGGTTAATAATCCTACAGCTCAAACCATAAGGGAGAAACTCAAAAACAACTCTAAAGTCTAAACAATCAATCATAGAATGATAAAAAAACAGCGCATTTCAGGAGCTCTTAAATATCATTAGTTCTCGTCTTGAGAACAACAATTTTAACCAGAGATTCACCACACAGTATCATTCTTTTCTTACCATAACCTTTTCCTACTCCTTTCTACCATAAAGACAATTATGAATTCTTACAAAAATTTTACCGTCCAATCATCTGTAATCAACAAGTTGGGCTTCCGAAGTGTAAGAACGGATATGTGTCGCCCTGTCAGGAAGTGCAGTGGACCAAGTTCGATATCAACCTTTCTATTTTCTGGCTCAACTATAGCAGATTTTGATCCACTATGTCCAAGAACTATAATCCTCTCAATAACACTGTTGGAAGAAAACTTGATGCTACTAGAATCAATAGGTCCCACGTTCAATGATGTAAGCTTGTCCCCTGAGAACACGAATCGGCGATGGATGTATGCGCCTTGCTTAAATTCGAAGCTTTTACCGTCATCAATGTAAAGCTCGCCTTCTGCTGCTTGTGAACTATTAAGAGCTACCACCTATGAACGACACGAAAATATTAAACCACCGAACCTGATATTAGTCCACGTAAAAAGAATGAAAAGGGAAGATTTGAGTATTGCATAATTTGTTGAAGAGTGCCTCCCGGTAAGGTAACAAATACATACCAAAGTGTAGGGGTCATCCACCATCTGTGTAGAGCTCCGACGAAAGCGGTCTTTTCGGGGCAGTATCGTTCCAGCTTTTTGGAAAGCAGGGATGCTTTCTTCAGAAACCTTTAGCCGGTGGGTGATGCCACCCCTATACATAGTTCCAGTTCTAAAATCAAACCAAGACTGTTCGCCAGGCAAATACACTGACACTGTTTTAGCTGCCTACAAGTGTAACCAAATCATGATATTGAATAAGAAATCAACAATCAACGAAAATAAAATTCAAATAAAGTAAAAGACTAATGAAACTAAAGAAAAGGGGATATTATAAGTTATAAAATGTTAAATAAAAACTAAAATCTAAATAAATTTCACTCGAACTCCTAATATGACATCTTAACTTCTCAAGTTAAGGAAATCATTTGGATTGGTCCCTGAAATCAACCCCTCCATTACAGATGAGTTACACTTTCAATCAGATTGCGAGGAAGGTTTCCTTGTTAGTTGGCTCGTTTTGTTGTATTATTTGTCAAGAGAGCTAAGGAAGATCTAAATCACATTCTTTGAAGAGGTGAATTTGCGAGATCCTTCTGGAATTCTTTCTTTCAAACATCCATCTCTTGTTAGCTCGTCGTAGGGACACTAAGGATATAATTGGGGAGTTCCTCTTCCATCTGGTTTTTTGTGAGAAGAGTTGTTTCTTATGACATGATGGGGTGTGTGTTATTTTGTGGGATCATTGGGGAGAGAAAAATAATAGAATAAGACTCATATCAAGTTTCAAGTCAGATGTTCCAAGAGTCATCATCTCAATCATTAAGAATCCGTAAGTGTTTTTTATTTTTTTCCTTTCACTATTTTGTTGTTAAAGGAATTACCTTGGTATATATTCCTTGCACTAAAAGAGCACTCCCTACCATAAAAGCGTCATCATTTCTGAATGTAACTTCATCAGATGGAAATTCCATCCACAATGGACGTAAAATAGGAATACCACTTGTATTTGCTTCTCGAAATAGGGTATAGAAATACGGTAGCAACATGTACCGAACGCGTATAGCATCTCTCATCAGTTCTGTATTTCGTTCCCTGTAATAATGCAAGACAAATAACACAAAGTTGTCCATCACAAAACCATCATTTCTATCACTACTAAGTTTTCATCTGTTTTTTATAAATCTTTTTAAAAATTAAAAAGGGCAATTATTGAATAAAAAAATTGATAATAGAGAAGATTTCGTTGATTCTATATTTGAAATCTCATAAATCCAATGAATTGAAATCCAGCAGTCAACAGGCCACTTAATTATGATTTTTTTTATAAGAAAAAGGAGGTCTCTTAATTATGTGACATAAGCTAAAATTTGACAGATAGGAAGTACATGATATCCTACCCGAATAACCAAGGTTCTCTCCTTTTGGCGTCGTGGTGAGCATGGCCTCTAAAGAAGGGATAAAAGGCACCTAGCTGATACCAACGCACTAACAGCTCAGTCTCAGGATTTCCAAAATAACCACCAACATCGGCACCTGTTGAAACAACTTAGCCATAACTATCAAAACAATATGACTGATAGTTCCAACCTCCAAGAAAGGGGATCCATACCGGAGAATGACAATCCAGTAAGGCCAAGAGCCAAAACCATCGGAACAGAAACCCTGAGATGATCCCAATCAGCTGTGTTATCTCCCGTCCATACTGCTCCATACCTTTGGCTTCCAGCAAAAACTGCTCGCGAGAGCACAAAAGGCCTATCCTTTCCATCACCCCGCTTAACTAGCCCCTCTGAAGTAGCCATCTGAAAGTAGTATCCATAGACATTGTGTAATTCTCGATGTTCTACACCTCCTTGATGTAGAGAATTTCGAGGCATTGTAACCTAGATAGAGACATCAGTCAACAAATTTGATAATATTACAGCAGAAGAACACAACTTGTTCTTAACTACTTTTTTTCAATACAAAGCAATATGTGATCTGATATGATAAATGAACCATAAATAGCTAAGAAGGTAAATGGTCTAAATACTGAGAAACACATTACAAGGAAGAAGTCCTTATCGAATATGAACTTGAAGAAAATAACCTGATGATATAAGATTACAATGTCAGAAATAAGAGTTCTCAAAACTGACTTAAGTTTTCAACAATATCGTGAAAAACATTATCCTGACACTTGAACGAAGTGCAAAAAGGAAAACCCAAATTGAAGAGTTAAAAATGACATTCTACTTCTTATAAAAAAAACAACTTTCTATTTAGAAGCCCACCAACGAACGTGCCAACTCATGAAGGAAGCATTATCTGTAGAGAAAAAGCCAGCAAACTTCCATACTTCGAATGTAAAAGCAGTAGCATAAACTGCTGCCAAACATACAATCAGCGCTTAAAAGGAACCAACGACATGGCAAGGTTACTACCCATCTCATCAAGCTATAAAAACTACCTATCAATTATCTATTAATGGCTATCACCCTAGGTTACTCCTCCCAAAACTAAATCTTTCGATCCATCCCCTTCTCTAGAGATGTCCATTTAACCCAACCTAAACAAGACGAGGAATAGGAGAGGGAGCGGAAAGAGACTTCTCTTTGTTAGCTAAATGGGGCCAAAGATGGGCATTATATTCCTCGTACTCCCCAATCCCGCCTCGCCCCTCTTTTTATACATAAATAAATCTATCTATCCATCTATATATATTTCCTTTTTTCATTCTTTACTTACGTAGACAAATACAAATAAAAATAAATAAATTAATTAATTAATTAATTAAGTGTTATGGTATAATATTGAAATTTGAGTTTTTGGAAATTAGGTGGAACATTATGTTATATTTTTTGTCATGAAATATTATTGGATTTATTAGGATGTTTTAGGAAAATTCCGTTACAAAATTCTTTGAAATTGAAATGAATATTATATATATAGGAAAAATTTCTTGCCGATAACTCGATCCTTGAAAAAATAAATAGATAATTTTGCAGGGATGGAAATTACAATAAAAGGTGGAGACGGGGATGGGGAGGGCTTCTCCGTCCCCACCCACCCCATAGACATCTCTATTCCTAACCATTTTCTTACATTTTTTAGTATGAATTCCCAATCAACCATATTATAGAGATCAATTTTCAGCACCTATATCCTCAAAGTTTCCAGTTCCTACATTCTTCCACAGCTTCATTTGCAACTAGAATAGGATCAATAATTGGTCCCCCTTCAATAAAAGCATTCAGACTTGCTGATATTGTAGAATTTAATATCCATTTAAATCTTTCTGCTATACTTTTAACAATAATCATATCAATACTAATGCGCCTAAAATCTCACTTTTCTGCCTTCTCTTGTATTTACTTTTGGTTTTGAATATATTATATTTTACCAGAAATGAATAAGAGGAGCTGAGCCGTGAGATCTCACATCGATTGGAGAGGGGAACGAAACATTCTTTATAAGGGTGTGGAAACATTCCCCTAGCAAACGCGTTTTAAAAACCTTGAGGGAAAGTTCGAAAGAGAAAGCCCAAAGAGGACAATATATGCTAGCGGTAGCTTGGGCTGTTGCAAATGGTATCAGAGCCAAACACCGAGCGGTTTGCCAACAAGAATGTTGAGTCTCGAAGGGGGTGGACACCGGGCGGTGTGCCAGCAAGGACGTTAGGGTGGATTGTGAGATCTCACATTGGTTGGAGAGGGGAACGATGCATTTTTTATAAGGGTGTGGAAATCTCTTCCTAGCAGACCATTTTAGAAACCTTAAGGAAAAGTCCAAAAAGCCCAATATCGACTAGCTAGCAGACCATTTTAGAAACCTTAAGGAAAAGTCTAAAAAGGACAATATCGGCTAGTGGTGGGTTTGGGCTGTTACATGAGCATTTGATGTGAGTACATAAAAGGCATCCCAGTGATGGATACTCTGTGTACATTTAAGGAATCGGGCATGCAAGACACAATGGTAAACAAAATACGAAGCAAAAAAAAATGCGCCCAAAAACATTTTAGACCCAAGGAATAAAAGTAGACAGTTGAGTAAAATACCTCTGGACCATTGAAAACAGAAGGCTCATTCATATCATTCCATATATACAAGGAAGGAGTCGAACCAACATAGTTTTCAAAAGAAAACTTGTCTCCCCACCATGCCCTGATCTGTGGACTTAACATGTCTAGGTAGGATGATGAACCTGGCCAGCACCACCCATCATAATCATTTCCAGTAGCATCCTTGACATAATATCCCATCTTTGTTGCTTCCTTATGCAATGGAAAATAACCGTCCCGCTTAATATGAGGATCCACTATGGTAACCATGTGCCTTCCTTTGGCAGCCAACTTCCTCTGCATCTCTTCCGGATGGGGAAAAAGCTCCCTGTCCCATGTAAAATACCTTCTTCCATCTGTGTGATCGATATCAAGCACCAACACATCGTAGGGAATATCATGTTCATCAAATTTAGAATCCACATTCGCAACATCCTCTTCATTCCTATAATTCCACCTAGATTGATGATATGCTGTTGCAAAGAGCTGGGGCATTGCCGTAGTCCCCGTCACACTTGTGTACTGCCGAACAACATCCTTAGGCTCTGGACCTACAAAGAAGAAAGTATCCACAATGCCCGCCTCACTCATCCAAAAACTATCAATCCTACCTTGAGATGAAGGAAGAGAAATCCCTGATTCAGCATCCCAGCCAGATCCAAGAACATCAACTTGCATTTCAGCAGCATTCAACCAAAAAAACCCAGAAGTTCCCCGCAATTTACCGTGTGAAATCATGAAAGGGACTGACCCGTAGATCCCAAACGGAGAATCGTGAACATACTCGAAAACATCCAAATTAAACAGCCTATAAGGTTCCGACTCCTCGACGCCGGGTCCTCTGGTGGGCTTAAGAGCGAGACTAGTTGCACGCTCCGGTATTCCATAAACATAATCAGCATCATAAAACGAAACGTCGAAACTAATCGATTGGGGACCGTACGGCCTGGTATCAATATGTCCTCTAAACTTCTCCTCCCAGTTCTCGCCTTCTTTTTTAACCCTCAATTGCTCGAAATCGAATAAACCATTAGAATTTAAAGATAAAACGCGCTTACCTGACTTCTCACGCACGAAAACCTCAAAAGGATCTTGCCGAAGCACTGCCTCATAACCATCGGACAAGTACACAATCGAAGACGGCCTCAAATCGGAGCCAATCGTCTCGGTTGAAAATCGCTGCAACCAAAGCTTATTGCTCAAAAACTCATCAAGAATCACATCCGGCACCTCGAATCGCTTTTTGGGAGGATCTAAAGAAGGATCCTCGTCGATCCTGAGGCGCAGAACGCCGCCTTGATGCACAGAAAGAGCGAGTAACAAGGGCTTGGATGGATGATCTGGGTTCTGATTCCTGGGAAGGAGCGCGGCAGTGAGGTCCCCATCATTAATAGAAACATCATGAGCTACAAGGGAACATGATCCAGGCTTAAAGGCGCGGGCTCGCTTGCAGAAGGGAGTCTGGTTACAGCTCCTGAACTCGTCCTTCTTCCATGGGAGGACGAAGGTGAAATGCAGAGGCAAAAGGAGTAGAAGGAGAAGGTAGGAAACTCCCATGGTGGCTTTGATGAGGCACTGATCATAATGGTTTGAAAAATGTTTATTTATTCCTTTAATATTTTTTTTAATGAATTTTTTATATTATTGAGACCTCAAAAAAAAAAAAATTAAATTTAACGTATTATTTTAGTTATTCGTATATTTATATTTATAATTTATATTATTTTAAGTTGAATATTTTTTTACTCTAAATTTTTTAATAAAATATTTAAATTTAAATCTACATTTGGATTAAAAGCAGGTCTATAAATAAATAAATAAATAAATAAATTAGAAAGATATATGATAATAAATGGAACTAAAAATTGAACCCTAAATTTAAGGATAATTAAAACCAATTAAAATAAAAAGGGAAACTTAACTAACACATAAGAATTCATTTAAAATTAAAACTAAAATTGAAAATATATATATATTTTTTTTTTTTAAGCTGGTTTTTTGCAAAATAAAAATTAGAAATTAAGAGGATTTAATATTTAAAACACAATTTTTCACACAAATACCTTATATTAAAAAAATAAATAAATAGCTAAAATATTAGTTAATTGTCTTATTTGCGGTAAAATCCTAATGTTAACTATCATACTTGTTTTTCTCATACATTAAATTATATACTTATCACTCTCGTGAGGCTAAAATTTGGTTCGTTTTTCCGTTAAAGGACCGTTAGTGGCTTTTTGTTTGTGTTTCGATGTTGCTTCGAAGAGCCATAGGAAACAGTACTAAGGCTTAAATTTTGAAGTAAAAAAAGTAACTTGAAATTGAAACCCTAATTTGAAAATTGTAATTTCGTTGAAAATATTGAGCTATGGTTAATATTTTTTCAAATCGACAATTATTCAATCATTTGTTGTATCAGCTCTAATACTCGTATATTGTCCTTATCATCTCTTTCAACATTTGAATCTGTTCCAACTGTGTTTATAATAGTTTTTCTTCTGCTTTCTCTCGAGAATTATTTATAATATTATATAGCTCACAAGGGAAAAGTCCAAAGAGGACAATATCTGCTAGCAGCAAGCTTGGACTGTTACAAATGGTATCTAAGTCAAACACGGGATGACGTGCTAATGAGGACGTTGGGCCCCAAAGGGAGATGGATTGTGAGATCTCACATCGGTTGGAGAGGGGAACAAAACATTCCTTATAAGGGTGCGAAAATCTCTACCATAGACACGTTTTAAAACCTTGAGGGAAAGCTCAAGGAAGACAATATCTGCTAACAGTGAGGTTAAGGTCTGACTATTACAGATTTCATATACTCAAATGGCAAAAGTCGAGACGGTTCAGAATTCCTAGCAATCCAAATTTGCGGAATAAAAATGAAGAGATAGACCTAGTGATAGTGTAAAAGTGTTACCGTCTCATCAACTAAACAATTGAAATTTGTGAATATTCTCACCGTCTTCTACACGAAGATTAGAATATATTCTTTATAAAGGTAAAAAGAGTATATAGTAAAAGAGAACAATAGGATGGCTACGAACATTACGTTTAGGAATAGGATGCGTGAAAATCAAATAATTCTGTTCGGTATTATATAAATAAATTATTTTCAACAATTTTGTTATATTATTTAATAATAGATAACTAAGGGTGGTTAAAAAAAAAATCATTTTTTTTTGTCAAAATAAATTAAATATCTATTTAAATAAATTATTACTGATTTATTATAATTTAATAAATTAAAGTTAAATTTATTCAAATAAAATAAACTGAGAGATAAAATATTATTGAATAATAATATTTTTAATTCTTGTAACTACTTCTATCAATTTTATTACCTTAATTAACTTTAGATAATTAATTGTGGTTAGTTAGTTTTTTTTTATTAAATTAAATTAATAAGTATATTATAAATAATATGTCATTTTAGGGTTTTGAATTTATTTAATAGTAAATATTAATAAATATTCTTAAATAAATAATTTATAATTAAAAATAATTAGTAGAACAATCGAATTAAAAAAATAATTATATATATTATATAACAATAATAACGGTATAAAAAATACAATTTAATTTTTTTTTTAAACATAAAAACTATGAAGGATATTTAGTACTAAATTATAGTTTACTATATATATCATATTTCATTTATATTATAAAACATTCTTACTATAAATATTTTTTCATTTATTACTCTCTGTCCTTGTAATTTATTTAATTATAAATAGAAAACTTTCGCCTACCATTTGATACCATTTTTGTAAATCTTTTTTAAAAATCATTATTTTTCCTTTAATAAATTTACGAAGATGTATCAATTCTTTTCTCAATCATTAAAAATTGAATGTTGTAGTTTACATATATATATATTTTTGATCGGGTATCTATGAGTTATCTTTAGGGCTTAGTTACTTTTAGTATTTGATATATTTTTATAGATATAAACCCATAAGAACAGCCAAAATCTCGTGCAAAAATAGCGTCGAGACACCACCATTAGGCAATGCAAGGCACTCGTGTGCTCGTGCTGAGAAGCACTTGATCTATTCATGTTTTCATGTGGTTCGCCAAATTTAAATGTATTATATTCTAGAAATTTTATTTTTTATAGTATGTTTATTTCAATCATTAAAGCTAGATGTCACCATAACTTCTAACTGTAATTCTTATTTCAAAGCCTAGACACGATACATCATACTTATTAAGCTCACTTGAAGATTTGAATACCTAATCTCTTAGAGCGCGACACTTTAAAAGCTTAACGAAAACACTAATTTACCTACCGTGGATACTTTAGGAACCTGTGGATTATAAACTTACCAAAAAAAAAGAACCAAAACAGTATTGATCATTTTTTACGTACTAAAATATGAAAAAATGAGGCAAAAGAAAGAGGCAGGGCAGGCAGGTTTAAGCCCAATTTAGTGTTATTGTTACAAATGCTACGTACCTAGTGTTCTCCGGTTGGTTATTCTTTCCCTAAAACTGATTCAAGAAGAGCAGCCTCCTCTTCCTGCAGACATGAGATGACATGACATAACAAGCCATTACATTATAAACATCTCTATTTTTACTAAACCACACATTTCACGTACCACCAGCGCGTTAAATTCAGTCTCTTCGTCTATGGCACTGATAGTTGCTGGGTCCTCCAATAGCTCCTGTTTCCAACAATATTCAGAATACATCCCACATCGATTGGGGAAGAGAGCGAAACATTCTTTATAAGAGTGTGGAAACCTCTCCCTAGCATACGTGTTTTAAAAACCTTAAAGGGAAGCTCGAAAGGGAAAGCCTAAAGATAACAATATCTGCTAGCTGTGGGCTTAAGCCGTTACAGTTGGTATAAGAGCCAGACACGAGGCGATGTGCTAGCTAAAGCTGAGCCTCGAAGGGGGTGAACACGAGGCGGTGAACCAGCAAGGAAGCTGGGCCCCAATTGGGGGTGGATTCCATTCCCACATCGATTGGAGAAGGGAACGAGTGCCAGTGAGGATGCCGGGCCCCGAAGGGGGGTGGATTGTGAGATCCCACATCGACTGGAGAGGAAGACGAAACATTCTTTATAAGGGTGGGAAAACCTCTCCTTGGCAGGCGGGTACTAAAAACCTTGAGGGGAAGCCCGAAAGGAAAAGCCTAAAGAAGACAATATCTGCTAACGGTGGGCTTGGGCCGTTACATCCCTACTCCCACTTATACATATGATCCCCGAATTCATTATAAATCTATTCATTTCTTAAACTTTGCATGAAAGACCGAAAGCCAAAATGCAGGATAAGAATCAGCCAACCTCAAAGCTACTCTTCCACCAGTCAGAATGGCAGAAATCATTGTTTTTTTTTTCTTCTTCGTAAAGATGTTTAAAGCACACCGACCATATGCACTAGTTTTCCAAGCTACAGAATACGACCAGACAAGGAAGTGTTCATAAAACGTATGAAATAACTTACATCATCAGCAATTGTCAGTTGTCCAAGCTTGTCCTGCATAAACAAATGGGTTGATACACTTGATTAGTCGTCGCTCAATAGCCGCCTAACAACATATGATTTGGAATAACGATACCAAGCACCATGCATTTAGCAACATAGTGTTTAAAGGGAGATTCTAACAAAAACAACACTGCTTTCAACAATATGGCATAGTTGTAGCTAATTCATAGGTACCTTCGTAGCAACAAAAAGAAGCGGATCAGATGGCGTATAAATCATGTAATGTGCTCCATCCTGCACCCCACAAAAAGAGTACAATAACCACGCATTAAAATCACATATTTCAACAATATGAAACAGAGAAGACCTGCTCAGAATCTTCAGCTATCTAGAGAAATAATGTTCATAGAATGATTCATTCATAATTTTTGTATATCAAAAGTGAAAAAAAAATTGCAAGATGCATTTTGTAGAATAAAAGAAATAGTTAGAAGTGAATAACGATATAGCTGACGACTGGAAATCTAAATCGTGAGAATATACCGCAATCAAGCAACGGAAAGCTGAATCAACTATCAACTAACAAGTAATATAATGTTACTGCAACCACAAATGCATTCTCTGTTCTTGGAATATATTTGTTTACCAGTACTTGAAAAATAATTATGGATTAGAACATTGTTATTACGAAGGTTAAAAAATGTTTCTCAAGCATCATATTCGGTTTTTATTTATACAAATGCTCTAAATCCTTAGAAGCCAAGTTCAAATATAAAAGCAAGATGAAACTTCAAAAAGTATGTGTAACAGCCCAAGTTCAAATATTGTCCTTTGGGTTTTCCCTCAAGGTTTTAAAACGCGTCTACTTAGGAGAGGTTTCTACACTCTTATAAAGAATGTTTTGTTCCTCTCTTCAACCGAGGTGGGATCTCACAATCCACCTCCCTTAGGGGCCAGCGTCCTCGCTGGCACATCGCCCAGTGTCTGGCTCTGATACCATTTGTAACAGCCCAAATCCATCGCTAGCAGATATTGTCCTCTTTGGGCTTTTCCTTTCGGCTTCTCCTCAAGGTTTTAAAATGCATCTGCTAGGGAGAGGTTTTCACACCCTTATAAAGATTGCTTCGTTCCCCTCTCCACCCGATATGCGATCTC